GTCGCCGCTGCCGCCACCGCCGCCGCCGCCGCCGCTGCCCCCGCCGCCGCCGCCACCGCCGCCGCCACCGCCGCAGCCGCCGCAGCCGCTGCCTCCGCCGCAGCCGCCGCAGCCGCCGCCGCCGCCGCCAAGTGTACTCTGTATTGTTTTTTGACAGGGATGGTGGGGGGAGGCCGCATCGGGTTCGCTGCGCATGCTCCGGATTTGGAGGCAGAGTGTGTTTTGTAATGTTTCTTGCAAGGGATGATGGGGGGGGGGCCCGCATTGACCCTTGTTGGCTCCCAGTCGCTTGGGGAAGGGGGTGTATATTAATAGGGAACAGTGCTAAACCTCTCTCCAAAAGGGGAAGAGGGGCATATGGAAAACAAAACACCCCAGTCCACCTACGCCCTACAGGGCTGGTGGGATTTAGGTGGAGAGTCGGTTTTGTACAGTGGAGAGCCCATGCCAAGAAATACCCTGCTTGCCTCCAGGGTGCCCTGGGCTTCTTGGGCTTCGATGGCTTTGCCATGGAAGGCGTGACGCTCCCAGACCGAAGATCAGTAGACGCCCTGGGGTCTCGGGGGCTGGTTTTCTCGTGGAGGGTTTCCTGTGGCCGAGCTCCTGCTGTGGTCCATCCTCGTGCGTGTGAGGCGCGGCGAGGCGCGGCGGCCTCCGGGCCGTGGCGGTCTCCGGCCTCGAGGCCTGGGTGCCCCGCGCTCCCGCGCGCTGCTCGCTGGCTGCGTCGGAAGCCCCCCGGGGCCTCTCGAACGGGGGTCAGCCAGAGCTCGAGGGGGGTGATGACCAGGGGGGGGGTGGATGTCATGGCGGGGGCCATGATATTTCCCCAGATTTCGTGGCGCCTCTTCTTATTTCATTACGTCCTTGGCCCCCCCGCTGGGCCGCGCACGTGCCGCCGGTCATGATTTGCACCCCCCCTCTTGGACACCCCCCTCTTGGCCGCTCCCGAGACGGGGGTCAACGCAAACGGGGGTCAGCCAGAGCGCCCGATCTTGCAGGATCCTGCAGGGCCAGGGTCGCGCCGACCCGTGTCTGGGTGCAGGATCCTGCAGGATCCTGCAGGATCTTTCGCGTTGGCCCGGGTTGGGTGCAGGATCTTGCAGGATTATGCAGGACTCTGCAAGACCTGACTGACCCGGGTCTGGATTGACTCGGGTCGAAGGACCCCCGAAGCTTGCTCGAGCGGAGGGTTGCTGGCGGAGGGCGGCGGAAGGGCCGCAGTGAACGGCGGCAGCAGACAGTGGGAGCCATTTGGTGCTGGGCGAAGGTGGTGCGTGCTGTGCAGTTCGTGCTGCCGTCGGGACGTTTGTGATGGTGGACGCAGCGGAGCCCCAGGACATGCCGCTCGCAAAGGCGAGGTATGTTCCCGAAGCAGTGCTTGCACTTGAGGGTTCTTGCTTCCGCTCCAATGAACGGGGCCTGGGGTTCGGTCTGGCGGCTCTGCGGTCGCCGTCGCCGCCCCGTCGCCGCCTCGTCACCGCAAAAAGGACTGCACCACACATATTCCATTTTGTAAAAGAATATTAGGATGTACCCTCCCCTGGGTTAGCCGCCCCCCTTTTCGATGGGAAATTCATTAATGTTCCTGACACCTCGTCCATCCTAAATATGAGTTCGTACCATCCCAGCCAGGCCGGTATCGACACCATCTCATCCTCCGTTATGCGCGCGCATTCGTTTATCACTCATAAGCAGTTTCCAATATTCCCTTGCAAAAGGTGGGACGAAGTGCGCGCGCGAGTCGTCGCGCGCGCATGCCGACATCCTTCAAAACCATAGTTTCCGTAAGGATTTCAAAATTGTGTGTCACCAAAACGTATAAGAACACATGGTTTTGCAACCAGAGTGTTCAAAACAATCTTGCACTCGCGCTCTTGCGAAATCATGAGAAAGTCAGTGTTGACACAAATCTTCATACCATGCTACTACACAGGTCTCTCGCGCGCGCATGTTGAAATGGTTCGACCGCCCTTGCGCGCGTGCCGTCGCAATAATCATTTTTGCAAGCATGGGACGAAGTGCACACGCGCGCGTCGTCGCGGGCGCATGCCGAAATCCGTCAAAAACGTTAGGCTTCGAAAGGATTTCAAAATCAAATGTCCCGAAAACAGATAAACACACATGGTTTCGCAATATCAGCTTTCAAAAAAGTGCGCTCGCGCTCGTGCGAACTTTCAAGAAAGCCAAGAGATTTCACCGTTTCTTTCAAAAATTCCAAACGGGCCACTCGCGCCGCATGCCGAAATTATTCGAACGTCCTTGCGCGCGTGCTGGGTGAGGGGGCACGATCCGTTTCAAATAATACCATGCGGCCACTCTCGCGCGTCGGCCGCGCGCGCATGTCGAACTCCATCCAAAACCTTTATCACCGACGCGAGGATGCCGCCAGTGTCGTCGGCGTGATCAGCGTCGGCGCCGTCACCGGCCGTGCCGTCTCCGTTGTTGTCATCATCGTCACCAGCACCGCTGCTATCATCATCGTGTCTACTGTTGTCGACGTTGCCATGATACCGCGCCCGCCCACGTCATCGTCTCGCACTGAAGTGCCCGCTGGGAACTGTCCAGAGGGCAGCGCCACTGCTGCCGCGTCGGTCGCGCCAAACTAGCTGGCCGCTGCGCGCGCGAGCATACGCAGGCTAGCGCGGCCGCAGAGATGCACCAGCCAACACCAAACACCCATCACCATCGCCGCCGCAGGGGTTTTGCAAACGAAGTTGCGGGTGGGTGGGTGGGATGATTTCAAGTTGAGCGTTTGTGCATTGCACCACGTAAAATGCACCACATAGCGTGTTCCGCACACCCACGCACACATATATACATATTGCTAAGGCCTTAAAGGCCGGTGCCGCCGACCCTGAAGACGACGACGACGAATACGAGGAGGAGAAGGAGGAGGAGGGGGATTAAGGTGGCAGGGAGCAGGAGAAGGCGAAGGAGATGTTCCCCACGTGGGCCAAAGGAGTCGTAGCAGAGACAGACAGGGAGCCCTGAGGCCTGCGGCCCTTCCCGCCGCCGTGCTGGGGTTGTGGTTGAAAGGCCTCTTGGATGCTTTCGGGCCTGTTGGGGCCTCTGTTGGGCCTCTTGGGGGTCTGTTTGGGGCCTCTTCCGGGCCCTTTGAGGGGCTCTTGGGGCCTTCCGGGGGCTTCTTGGGGCGGGAAGCTCGAACTGTCGGTTCGTGGTCCTTTTCTTGGGCCTGCTTAGGGCCTCATTGGCGCGTCTTGCAGCTTTCTTGGGCTCCCGGATGCCCAGGGGCGGATGCGCAACTGTTTCCCCATTCCCCCTGGGGACCCCCCCTGGATCCCCCCTGGACCCCCCCCCGGGACCCCCCGGGACCCCCCCCCCCGGCGGGGGAGGGATCAAAGGGAAGGGGTTTCCCTTCGAATTTAGTATGACGTTGCTAGGGTTTTCTCTCGCTGGCAGGCTTGAATAGGAGGGTGCAGGGAAAGGGGACGACGTCGACGCAGGGAAAGAGGACAACGGATGCGTCGACTGAGCGCACGCTGTCAGGGGGTCCACACGCCGACAGGGTCGGCGGATATATTGTACATTGTAGATTGCGCACCGCACAAGTCGTACCACATTTCTTGTACATGTATATTGCAGAACATACATTGCACAGCATATCGTGCACCACATTTACTGCACCATTTAGATGATTCCACGTATAGTGCACAGCATTGGCTGTACCATATCTAAATTCTTCACGCTTCGCGTATCCCCACCAGCCCATCTCAAAACAGCAACTCTTGCGAAACATGAGGCCTCGTGGTGCCTCCTGGGGACCTCTTGTGGGCCATCTGGGGAACTCTAGGGGCCATCTGGTGGACCTCTGGGGGCCATCGTGGGGGGCTTGTATGAGCGCTGCCCGTCCTCCTGGTGTGACTCGTTCGGGCTCCGCGTGGTGTGAGTCGTTCGAGGCCCGCGTCGTGGTGTGAGTCGTTCGGGCTCCTCATGGTGTGAGTCGTTCGGGCGGCTCGTCCTGGTGTGAGTCGTTCGGGCCCCTCCTTGTGGTGTGAGTCGTTCGGGCTCTTCGTGGTGTGAGTCGTTCGGGCCCCTCGTCCTGGTGTGAGTCGTTCGGGCTCCTCGTGGGGCCTCTTGGGGGCCTCTTGGAGCCTCTGGGGGCCTCTTGGGAGCCTCTTGGGGGCCTCTCGGGGGCCTCTCGGGGGCCTCTTGGGGCCTCTGGGGGCCTCTCGGGGGCCACTTGGGGCCCTCTTGGGGGCCTCTTGGGGCCTCTTGGGGGACTCTGGGGAGCCTCCTGAGGAGGCCGGTCTCTTGGGAGCCTCCGGGGGGCCTCTTGGGGCCATCTTGGGGGCCTCTTGCGACCTCCTCTGAAGCGCGAAGGAGCGCTGCCCCCTGAAAAGGACAAAATGAGGCCAGAACCTTTGTAAAATCAACGATTTTGCTATGGAGGAAGAGAAGCGCGGCCCCCTCAGGAGGCCAAAATGGGGCCAAAACCGTAGTAAAATCAATGATTTTGGCTTCAAAGAAGAGCAGAGGGGCCAAACTCGGCCCCCCCGTCGGGGCCAGAATCCTCGTGAGGGTCGTCGTTTTTTTGGCCCTCCCAGGAGTCGAAAAAGACCCCCCTGAGAACACTCGGGACTCCCTGTCCAGGCCCAGGGGGAGGGGGTAGGGGGAGGGGTAAACCCCTCCCCGAAGGGGAAGAAGGGGGGTTGAGGACAGAGAGAGCTCTCTAAACCACTCACGCCCAAAGGGCTGGTGGGATTCATGCACATATGCATATATGCACATATTTTGATCCACTTAGGTGGCGCCACATTTATTGCATAGCACATACAGCGCAATATCTTGCTCGAGACACTGTTTCGGATTCGCGCTGGCGAACATGTTTTCTCAATTTGTTCATGGGTGTTCCTCATCATTCCTTTCGCCCCTAGGGCGGAAAAAACGGCGGGGATGCGAAAACCTTCGGCTGTGGTTCTTGGTCAGAGTTGAGGATTGGGAGATTCAGGAATTCAGCTCAGCGTAGCTGGTCCGTTGAGGGCTGAACCACTGTCAAAGTCAGCGTTGGGTAGGCTTGCGTGCCTTAGACGTCAGCTACGGTGCGCAGGCTCCCTGGCTCTGATCCCTGATTCAGGTGGTATGAGGTGTGCGACGAGAATCCGTGGCTCACGATGAGGCTCGACGCCCAGTCGGACTGGCACTGCCCGTGGTGCACGCTGTGCGGCAAGTGGGTGGACGAGGCCTTGGCGCACCTGCTGACGCCCGCGTGCCAGGGGAGGATCGCGGGGCAGAAAGAGAAAGAGGGAGATAGAGGGAGAGAGAGGGAGAGACAGACACACACGCACAGGCATCGCAACATGAATGAGCTCTAGTTGCGCTGCCGCGCGAGTCCGCCACCGCGCCGGGGGGGGAGGCCGAGAGGGGGGCGAGGACCCGGGGGCTACTGGCTGTCCTCGCTGGGGCCACGACGCTTCCCCGCACCTCGTGGCCCCCGCCTCCTGCTCTCCGTGCGTCCCCCTGCCCCCCCCCCAACCGTGGCCGTGCGCGCGCCTCGTGCCACGATCTGCGACCCCCCCCCCCCTCTCGGACGCCCCCCCCCTCGGGCGCCCCCGAGCTGCTGCGGGCACCGCCGCGCCGCCCCGAGCCACCCTCCGACCGGGGGAATCCGCAAGACTCGAGCTCGCCAGGGCTCGGGCTTGCCGTCGCTCCTGTCGGACGGTCGCAGACACGAATAGCGGGGGCGTGGATTAGCGACAGGTCCCGTTGCCGTCGGAAATTGCGGATTTCCGCCGCCGAGCGGGGCAGCACCGGCCGCATTGTGGGGGGAGATGGATCCATGGATCTGGCGGCCGCGCGCCAAATCCATGGATCGCTGATCCATGTTTGCGCGCCCCCGATCTTTGACGGGCCCGTCCTGGATTTTGATGGTCCTGTTGTCGTGGGATGTCTGCAGCGGGGGCCAGATTTCAGACAAGGCCTCGTCATTTCCCTGACGGCCCCGTCAGGCCAAGCCCGAGCCCCCCGAGCCCGAGTCTTGCGTCTCCCCGCTCCCCAGACATCTGGGGCTCCCATTTGTTCGATGCGTGGACCCACACCGCTCGGGAAACGGTATACCACAAGATGGGCATACTATATGTTCGGGTCGGACGCCCGCCTCCAAGGAGCACATACAGTACTAGTACGTCTCTGCGCGTCCCATGGGGGCCGGCTTTTCATCCTGATTCTTTTTGTTGACGGTCCCTGGCCGCTCCAATGTTTCGGAGCATCTCTCCTGGGGGCGGCAAAGAGGGGGGTGATGACTAGGGGGGGTGGATATCATGGCGGGGGCCATGATGCTTCCTCAGAGTTCGTGGCGCCTCTTCTCATTTCAATGCGTCCCTGGCTCCCCCCCCTGGACCGCGCACGCGCCGACGGCCACGATTTGCGCCCCCCCCTCCTGCACGCCCCCCTCTTGGCCGCTCCAGATCTCCGTCTGCGACAGGACCGCCACCACATGAACATACCTATAATACCATGTGCGCGTCGGGCCCGCAGGGGCGATGCGCACACGCTCAGAAACCCTGCCGTGTGAGCCGTGGCGGGCGCTTCCTGGCCGCACCGCTCTGGCAACGACACGCCGTGGTCAGGATGTCTGCGCTGAATCTGCTCGGTGCGCTCGTGCGCCTCCGAAGGGGGGCCTCGATGGCTTCCGATTCCGATTCGATGCGACTTCGGATTCCGATTTGGACTGCGATTCCTTATTGGAGGCCTACTAGCCCGCCGATTTCCGCAGATTCGACTTTTCCCGACTTGGCTGCCGATTTCGGCCGATCCGATTCATTTCGATCGCCCATCCGACTTCTCGATTCGATTCTGGGCTCTCCTCAGACATGCGACGCCCTGATTTTTTCAGCACGGGGCCCCCAGGAGTCCCGACCCTTCCCCGGGACCGGCTTCTCATGCCTAGCCGTTTTTCGGGAGCCTTGAGACGGGGGTCAATGCAAATGGGGGTCAGCCGCGCCCGATCTTGCAGGATCCTTCGGGGCCAGGGTCGCGTTGACCCGGGTTTGGGTGCAGGATCCTGCAGGATTTTGCAGGATCTTTCGCATTGATCCGGGTTTGGGTGCAGGATCTTGCAGGATCTTGCAGGAGTCTGCAAGGCCTGACTGACCCGGGTCTGGACTGACCCGGGTCAGCAGTTCCCCGAGTTTTTTCACGGCCCTGCGGCCCGGCGAGGGTCCCTGGAGGCCGAACACGACGAAGTTGATCCCGCCCCATGTCCCTTGCGCGACGCGAGCATGTCTGGGAGAATGCCTTCCTGTCGGACGGGGCTGGGCCGAAGATGAGCTCGGCCCCTTCGGACCTGCCCGACCGAAAGCCGCCGGCGACCATCCGCGCCCCGCCCCAGGCGGAGCGGCCCGTGCCGCCCCGGGCCGCTCCTCGAGGCCATGCTGGGCGAGGCCGCCGCCTGGCGGGCCGCGGGGCGCCCCGCGCCGCCGCCCCCGGCGCCGGCCGCTGGCCGCCGCGCCCCGCCGGCGGCGGCGCGGGCCGGGGGGGCGCCAGGTGCGCGAGGATCAGAGGCGGCGACGGGGGGGCGAGCAGCCCAGGGGGGAGCAGTACATGTGTACTGTGGAGGAGGATCAGTGGAGAGGAGGCATGCTGCCAAGTACTTCCCAGATGTCTAGAGGAGGTTTCGAACGTGTTTTGGGTAGGTAAATGCATGCCATATTTAGAGCATATTTCACACATTTTAAACACATCTTTAATTCAATGAAAGGATTGATCGAGTGTCCATTGTCATGGCATCTACAGATGTATCCATGGGCGCCGATGATCTCTGTCTTTGGCAAGGCTTCCGGGCGAATTCGTGTAATGTCCGCCCCTGGGCTATTTTCGCTCTTACCGTCGCCGCCGAGACGAGAAGACACGGGGCCGTCTTTCGTGTGGTTCCAGGATCGGGGAAACGTACGACTCGAGTAAGCCGGAACTCGGGTTTGCCGAGCGCGTCCTGGATTTTGACGGTCCCGTTTTCGTGGGATGCTTGCAGCGGGAGCTCGCGTCAGATTTCAGATTGGGTCTCGTCATTTTTATGATGGCCCCTTCAGGCCAACCCGAGTCTCCCGTACCCGAGTCTTACGTCTCCCCGACAAAAGGGGCCCAAGGGAAAGGGACTTTTGAGACGGGCGATGCCGATCTCTCAAGTCCACTCGGCTTCGCGCACAAGGTCGCCGCATGACGCTTCCACCCGCACTTTTGTCGGAATCTCAAATGCAACGCGGCGGTCTCAGAAGTCTCTTTCGATGGCGTCCCTTAAGGAACCGTATCAGTCTTCACCGACATTGTTAAGCAGTGGCGAAGCGTCCTGGCTCGCCTATAGGCCCACCAAAGAAGGTTCTAAGAGCGTCTTGTACTCGGCAGGAGATGTTCTCAGAACATGTCTGGCTGAGACTGTTTTGTTATAACGCATCGGGTCTATGTTCTAAGAACCTTGTTTTTGCTTGTCGAACATTTTTGGGTTCTAAGAACATGTCGTGGTAGGCCTATCGGAGTGCCAGGACGGTCGGTCCCTGCTCAACATCGGCGCGTGAGCTGCCCGCGTACGGTAGGTTCGCGTCGTGTCGGCCGGCGGCGACCCCGCCGCCGGCGTTCAACGTTGAACGCCACTGGCGACCCAGAATCGGTTTATGTTTAACGATCCGACGTTTCGAGCACGGCCGATCGTTCAAGGTTGAACGAGATCCCCGCGGTGTCACAAACCGACGCCGAAGTCAGCACGACACGAACCTGCCTTAATGTCGCGTGTAAGCGCCCTCGTCTCCAATGTAGCGTGCCGCGCTGGCGGCCCGCGTAAGCCGCCGCGTAAGGTCGCTGTGCCATCTCGCGTAAGACCCGTTTCTGATCGTCGCCCAGGTGCAGCTCGACAGCTCGGTGCGATCGAAGTGGTTACGGAAAGGGTGGTACGAAACCTCGGGAGGAACAAACGTACCGATACCATTACTTTTGCCTCGTTTCTCTCTCTTTTTTTTGAGCGTCTCGGGGGAGGCTTTCGTCGCCACCGCTGGATTCGCCTCGAAAGTCTGGTCAGAACGCACCCCAGGAGAGGCTGGGGGAGTAGCGATGTTGGTACATTCTGGTTTCCGAGAAGCCCGAAAGCGGCTCTTGCCCATGCTGGACAGGATTCGCGGTCGGCGTCGCCGCGGATGTGGTCCACTTGAGACAGATGGGCGTCTGCCCAGCAGAGGCCTCAGTCGGTTTGGGTCAGTGTGTGTTGTTGGGCACCGTATCCATGTTTTCCGTACCCACTTCGGGCGTCCGAAACAACGGGGGAGCCGGAGGGAGGCCCCCCTCTCGGGGCCCACGCATACCTCAGGGTGCAGCTCCTGGGGGGTCGGTGGACACTGCAGGATCGGTGCCGTTGGATGTCCCTGGTCGAAAGCTGGCCTGTACTCTGGCTTACTCGCGCGGACTTGTGCGCCCCGCTCAACCCGGCTTCGTCCCGCTTGTCCAGTTGGATTCTGGGCTAAGTCGGGCCTCAGCTGGCCCAGTGGCCCTGGACTGGGGCCTCAGTATGGCCCTGAGTCGTTCTGACGCAGGCCTGCCAGAAGTTGCCTCCCGACGCAACAGGGGTGAGCACTGACGGGGCGCAGCGAATCCCCTCTGGCTGACCCGGGATTGCATCTGCCAGGGATGTTTTCATTGACCAAGAACGAGAGTCGAAGACGATCAGATGCCGTCCTGGTCTTAACCACAAGCCATGCCGACCAGAGACTGGAGGTCGTTATTAGTACGACTCCTTTAGCACCTTACTAGGGGAACGAAGAATGATATGGACAGATGCCCCCCCCTCCCGCCCTTCGCCGGCCCGAGCTTGGTAGTTTCTCTATTCAAGCTGCCAGCCGGGCTGCGTGGCAGTGGGCCTGGCCGACCCAGACACGGGCATCACCTGGGTGAATGCGTGCCCGAACCGTTCGTTGGGTGATAGGATGGAGGACCGTCCACAAGAAGCCCAACCCCGAGACCCCAGGACGTCCATGGATTTGTGGTGTGGGATCGTCACGCTCTCCATCGCAAAACCATCGAGACCCAAGAAACCCAGGGCACCCTAGAGGCAAGCAGGGTGTTTCTTGGCATGGGTCTCCACTGCATCTGGCCCCGGGACAACATTCTTCTGTGTCGGTTTTGGAGGTCGCCGCGGCGATCGTGGCGGCCACAAGCCAGGGCAAGGTTTCTGTCAAGGAGTGGCGTGCCTTTCTCCCAGCCCCCCCCTACCCCGCTCTGCGGATGCAGACGTGGCCCATAATCAATACTTACAACGACAGAGAGGGCTGCCAATCGATGCCCAGCATCGGCAGTCATGTTTCTTGGGGTTGGGGGTCGATTGTCACGCAACCAGCACCTTCAGAGGAGAATCCCTCGTCGACGCTCCTGGACTCGCCTCGGCTTCCTGGCCAGAGCCCACCCACTGAGCGGCCCGTGGAGAGTGGCGGAGTCGGGCCTGCCCAGCACGCGCTCAGATTGGCATCACTCGGACGTGTGCATTTTTTTTCGGCGAGGCCCATCGAGGAGCATCCTGGATCATCTTGGGAAACGGTGCGCCCACGAGATCAAAACATGCACGGGGAATCGGACGTCCGAGCGATGGCGAGCCAGGCGGGGTCCGCCGAGCAGATGGGAGTCGGGAGATCGCGCCGCGGCGCCGCTGCACCGGCGATGCGGCCCACTCGGAGGCCCGACTTCTGCCGCCCGGGCGTCGCCGAGACATCGGCGGCGCGGTGCGGTTCTCTGGCCACACTTGCGCATGTCCCGTCTGGGAGGGCAGCATCGCGGCCAGGTGCTCGTGCGGGAGCTCGATTCCGTCACGGATCCGCCCGGGCTCCAGCAGAGTGCGCACCTGCCACATTCATCGTAGTGCTATTCGAAACGATGCATGCCGAACCTACGGGGGGGTGCATCCACCTGGTATTTAGCAGCCGGCCTTCGTGCGAAGTGCTCGCCTCCACCCTCCCCTGCAGCCCCATGTCCCTTCCTGAGCGTCCGTCGAGAAGGGGCCGCTCTCGCGTTTCACGTCTCTGCCTGCCCCGTCGGGCAGCTCCCCTTCGACGTGTCGGTGGTTCAAATCCGTCGAGGGACGCCCCGAGAATATATTGATGTTGGCACGTGCTCGACTTACGCTGGGGGAGACTACACATCAGGGCTGAGCTGTCGGGGTGAGAAGCCTTCGTCTGGGCGATGGCATTTCGAGTCGTACACGTGTTGGCGCTGCGGGGCTAGCATCGGTCGATGCGGTCATCTTCTAAGAGGGCTGCTGAAGGTGCTCCTGGCGCAAGGTGCCCCACTCTGTTCGCTCGACTCTGGAGCCCCTAGGGCCCTCTGGGCCTCGTGATGGGGTGCTCTGGAGGCCTTCGGGGGCCTCCCTGGAGATCCTCGGGGCACCTCTGGGCCAGGGGCTCTTCTAGCAACGCCCGATCTTCTCCTTCTCCTCCTCCTCCTGGCAGGGGGCCAGGGGCGGGGGGGCTGGTTGGGCCCTGCCAGGGGGGGGGGGCATCCGCGTTGTGGAGGCCTCTGGGGGGAGGGCTTGGCGGCGGGACCGCTGCGAGGGCAGGGAAGCGCGCCTTGCTCGGAGCAGGATCGGCGTCTGCCTCGGGTTCTGGTCTTCCGTGTGAGCATTCGCACCTCGCCGTTATTGGTGAGTCGGCAGCAAGCGTCAAAACACTGGCTTGCATTTTCTGGCACAGAGAGGGCGGGAGCATGGGGCGGGTTGTCGTCTAGGCTGCTACTCTTCGAGTCGCGAAGAGCCCCTCACTTCTTTCCCACGTCTGTGGTGGCTATGGTGTTGATTCTTTACGCTCTAACCGTCCTCTTCATCTCCTGCACCCCTCCTGCCTACGGGCCAGGGGCGGGGGTATATTCCCTTCGGCTCCCTAGCAGCCCGTTGTCCCTGACAGTTCACTGGCGCTGGCAAGGACTCCCGGAGCTTGCGCGAACCCTCACTGCCAATTCCTTGTCCACAGCAACCCTCCTGTGAACTGGTCCGCAAGCGAGCGGATGCATTGCTGCAGGATGTGTCACGAGTACCACGAGAAGAGTTACAAGAAGAAGGTCGCGCATGGAAAAAAGTGTGAGATGCGTGGGTGGTCGGATCCACAATCCGTGCTGGCGCCCGCTGCAACCCCCGAATGCGCATCTGAGCATGTTCCTGGTGCGCCACATGAACCTGGCACTTGGCTCCCCCTTGCTTACACTGATGTCCAGTGCGGTGTGGATATTTCGACTGAGCGGAAGTCCGTCCTTAAACCTGGGAGTTTCTGCCGCGAGGTGGATCATCCAGTTCTGCTCTGCGGTGAGGGCGATGACGATGCGCTTAGCTTACGTTTGCCTCTAGAGGAAGGAGGTTGGGTCACGCTCGCAGAAAGGAGCAGAAGTACTGGTACCATCATAAGTAGTTTCCATCCGCCCACGCGTGGTTGGGAAAGTTTGTTTGACGAGACTCGCACTCTGTGTTTTGATGGCCTGTGTAATACCGCTCGGGAGGCATATAGAACTTTCGAGGAATGCCAGAAGCTCGTGATAGAGGAGGCATCGGCGCTCGTGAACATCACCTCTGATGGGGCTACTTCTATGCAGTATCTGTGTGCCTGCGGCAAGTCCCGCCGCCGTGCCGGCCCAGCATTCCCGGAGGCGGCTACGTGTTCGACTATTCGACGGGGCACGGGAGGCCGTCACGTGTGGGATTTTGGGCCTCGTGAAGCATCTCATTTGGGCTGTTTTGGGTCTGTCCTGGGCTCCCGTGGAGCTGTCCTGGGCTCCCGTGGGTTTTGAGGGTCCCTTGGGGCCCTCTTTGGCCGTCTTGGGGTCCTCTTGGGTCGTCTTGGGGCTTACTTGGGGCCTTCGTGGCCGTCTGGGGGCTCTCTCGGGGCCGTCTTGGGCCGTCTTGGGCCGTCCATGGGTCCTCTGAGGCCGTCTTGGGTCCCCCTGAGGCCCTGTCGGGCCAGCTTGACGCCCTCTTGGGTTCGTCCTTGGCTGTCCAGGAGCCCTCTTGGGCTGTTTTGAGTCGTTTCGGAGGCCTCTTGGTAAAACTGTCTTGGGCCTTCGTGGGGCCATCTTGAAGGCCTCTTGGGCTGTCTTGAGCGAGCAGAAGCCGAAAAGGCAAGAAGCCGAAACGGCAATAATGATTATGACCTCTTCGGGCCTTTCTGGAGGTTCTTTGGAGCCCTCTTGAGCCGTCTTGAAAGCAGATCTGGCCGTCTGGAGGTCATCTGGGGTTTGTAGATCGTCTTGACGGCATCTTGAGCTATCTTGGCTGCCCTGGTAGGCTCGGCCGTCTTGGAAGCCACTTAGAGCATCTTGGACGCCGTGGAGAGCGCCAGGCACGTGTCGGGCAATCAAATGAGTTTCGGGGAGGCGGGGAGCGATGCAGGAACGTGGGCTGGGGGGGTCTTTTGGTATATTTCAGAAGCCCTACCAGACTGAGCTTTGCATTCTACCACGCCTCAATATGCCAGGGGGCGCGGTGGCGGATTTAGTATCACGTCGAGATGCTGCTCGTGCTCATGCGCTCCAGTGCGTGGCAGACGTTGTCACTTCCCCTCTTGCCGCCCGCTGTCAGATGGACTCTTGGTCGGGCGGTGGTGAGCGGGAAGAGCTGGCAGAGGTGTTTCGCAAACGGCTGGCTCGGCTCGAGCAAGGATCAGCAGCAGATCCTGTTCAGGCGTTGAAGGACTTGCACATGTGCCGGGGTCGCGTGGACCAGGCGACAGTTGCAGCCATGGATGCTGCGCACGCTATCAATATCGCACCGCATCAGCGCAAGTCCAAAGAAGAGTTGGCAGAGCTGACAGCTGTGCGGGATGCGACGCGCAGGGAGCAACGACTCCACAGGAAAGCATATGACCGGAAGGTGGTCCAGGTGATCGGCTTGATGAAGAACCACTGCCCAGAGTTGCGCCCTGAGCTGATCAAGAGCGAAGCAGACTTCGTCTCCTTAAACATCCAGGACGATCCATACCTCCAGGAAATATTCGCTCTGGGCAGGGACCTGCAGTTCTACGATCGGCAGGAGCTCGTGCCCTGCGACGGCGCTCGACAGGGCAGGAACCAGGTGTTCGAAGCAGAAGACGCCGACGGCAGGGCATGCATTCTCAAGAAGATCAATTGGCAGTCGAACAAAGGGCTGCGATGCTTCGTTAACGAGGTGAGTCTGCTCGCAAAGCTGAAGCATCCATTGGTTGTTCCTGTGCAGTGCGCATATGCTGACTTTAACAACCAGTCTGGAATTCTCCAGTTCGATAAATTTGAGTGCAATCTTGACCAATGGATGCAGAGACAGGCCACAAACCCAGATGCAGACGTGACGGATGCGTGCCGCATTGTGTTTACAATGTTAGAGGCCGTTGTTTGGATACATTCGCAGGATATCGTGCATGGTGATATCAAGCTTTCGAATTTCTTATGGGATAGCAGAACAAGCCTTCCTCGGCTGCATGATTTTGAAACGGCTCGGGAGGACTGCTCAGAGACGCCAGGGGGGCATTCAACCACAACCTGTCCAGCCCTAACGTGGGAGTACGCCGCGCCAGAGTTGAGGATGGACCCTCAGCGTCGAAAAGATAAGCAGACTGATGTGTACGCCTTGGGAATATGCATAGACAAGGTGCTGCAACAGCTGGCGCGCTGTCGCTCTTCACAGCTCGATGGTCTCCGCGGACTGGCGAGCAAGATGAAGGCATACAACCCGAGTGAGCGCACCACCGCAGTCCAAGCGCAAGAGGATTGCCGGCAGCTGCTTCATCAAACGTGCCATGTGGAAACAGATGTGGTGAAGTGCAGGGAGGTATCGAAGACGCCTACGGCGAATCACCGCCGCCCCCTGCCTTTTTGGAAGCGCCTATGTGGCCGAACGTTGAGGCCAGACCTGCCAAGCTATCGGACCACGTGTTCCCCGAATCGGTTTGGAAAGCCTTCGGGGAACACGTGGGCATCTTGAAGGTCATCTTGGCCGTCTTGGAGGCCTCTTGGGCAAGCTTTGGGCGATCTTTGGGGCTTTTTGGGCCGTCTCGGGCCAGCTTCGAGCCAACTTCGGCCATCTTGGTGGGTTCCTGGCACGTCTGAAGCCGTCGGAAGCCGTTTGGGGGGCCTCTATGGGCCGACTTGGGGCCCGCTTGGAATGCTCCAGGGCCGTCTTGGAGGCCATCTTGGGCGTCTGGGAGGCCATCTTGGGCGTGTTGGAGGCCTCTTGGGCCCTCTTGGGGCCCTCTAGGGGCCATCTTGGAGGCCACTTGGGCCATCATGGGGCTCTCTTGGGGGCCTCTTGGGCGATCTTGGGGGCTTCTTGGGCCGTCTTGAGCCGTCGGAGAGCCGAAAAGGCGCAAATGCCAAAATCCTTCAAAAACCAAGGGAAAATCAATGATTTTGGCCTCTTCGGACTCTCCTGGAGGACCTCTTGGAGGCCTCTTGGGCCGTCTTGGGACTCTCTTGGGCCGTTTTGGAGGCCGTCTTGGACCGTCTTGGAGGCATCATAAGGCCATCTTAGCCGTCTTAGAGACCATCCTGGCCGTCTTAGAGGCATCTTGGAGGCCATCTTGGAACCGTCTGGGGCAGGAAATTGGGGAATTGAGCTCCTGGGCATCCTTTCCGGGTGGCCGGCGGGACGGGCCGAAGCCCACTGGGGAGTTCTTTTAGAAAAAGAACCAAAACCAAAACCGATAAAATCTAACACGCCAGGCACCCCTGCAAGCAGGGGGCGGCGGATCCAGTGGCCTTCGGCCCATCCCGCCACCGAGTCTGCGTTTGTGAGTCAGAGTTCTCAGGGATGCTTCTTCGCATCTCTTCGGGGCGCTCTCGGGGGCCCCTTGGGCGCAGTTTCGGGGCCTCTTGCGAGCCGCTTGGGGGCCTCTTGTGAGCCTCTTGGGGCCTCTTGTGAGCCTCTTGGGGCCTCTTGGGGGCCTCTTCGGGGCCTCTTGGGGCCTCCTGGGGGGGCCCTCGGGGCCGAGGGCTCGAAATGTCCGTTCGGGTTCCGCATCTGGGCCTCCTCTTGGGTCCGTCTTTGGGCCTTCTTGGGCCGTCCTGGGCGCCTCTTGGGGCGTGCTGGGGCCTCCTGGGCCGTTTTGGGGCCCTCTTGGGGGCCTCTGGGGACGTCTTGGGGCGATCTTGGGGGCCTAGTGGCCGTCTTGGAGCGTCGGAAAATCGAAAAGTCCAGAAGGCCAAACATTTTCAAAAACCTTTGAAAATCAATGGCTTTTGCATTTTGGGGTCCTCTTGGGACGCCTCTTGGAATACTCTTAGGGAGTCTTCGGGGCTTCTTGGGCCGGGTTGAGGCATCTTGGGCGTATTGGGGCACTTTTGGGCCTTTTCGGAGGCATCTTCGGCCCTTTTGAGCGTTTTTTGGGCCCATGTTTTGCCGGCTGCGCTACCGGAGCACGCGCGCGACACGCCCAGGGAATCCCGGGGAATCCTCGGAAATTTTTCTAAATCCCGGGAAATCCAGGGAAACCTCGGAAATCTCAGAAATCCTTGGGAATCCCCGAAGTCATTTTGAAACCGGTGGTCCAGGCTCGTAAACCTTCTAACCCTACAAGTCTGAACGTGTCAGGGCTGCATGATCCTTGGGGCGCTCCACTAAGTGCTGCAGGCACGGTGGCGGATACTACACACAGGGTACTTGCAGTGATCGGTTCTCAGGGGAACGGAAACACTGGCCAGACCAATTAGGAGGGTCTCGACACCCGTTTGACGAGGCGAAAGCCATCAATTGAAATAGTATTACACGTTTTTTGGTCTTGTTAATTCGTGTTTCCCTTGTCCTCAGGTTCAGCGACGGGAGGTCCTTCAACGATCTCATCCAGACCATACAGAAAGACCCATCGTACCCGCTGAAATGCGATACCCTCATTTTGGAGGTGGTGTTGATCGGGCACTGGTTGCATTCTAACGACAACCGGCGTCTGTACTGCATGCGCGAAGCGCAGGAGCTTGTGCCGGACGACATTTGGATTCGGATCCGCAAGCACACGCCCCCCAAGGGAGGCCTCGAGCGTCTCTTGCAGCGTTACAACACTCGAACCCATGGCAGGACCATTCGAGTGAACCACCGCCGGCCGTGATGCAATCCGCGCGCTGTGACCCTCGGTGCTGGCCAGGCCGTCATCGTGCTGATGCTCGTTGTGCTCTCAGAAGTCTGGCCCGCAGGGTCCATCTCGATCCCATCGTTAAATCGGGCATGTCCCTCTACAAGGGGAGTATTCAAAAACAGTCAAAAATAGTCCAGGGACGACTTTTCGATTTTTTTGTCGAATTTTTTGATCATTTTTTTGGTATTTTGCATTTCTCCTTCAAAATCCGCCTGCAGGAGGACACGCCTGACCTAATCCTATCGATCCGATGCCAGACGGCCTAATCGGGTTCGATTCATATGTTTCGTCGATCCGAGGCGGCCCGGCGATTGTGTGGCGCTGTTCTGCATCCTGGCGAGGCCGATGCGCTTCGGTTCCGATTCTGTGCCGATGCGGCCCGATCCGACCTTCATTCCGATTCGGTGTTGACAGATCTCATGGCGCCAACATCGCAGAGCGGATGTCGTTCGTAAAACGATCGGATGGGCCTGGAGTGTCTTCGAGAATTTCGTTCCGGATCTCGAATGAATTTCGCCCGGTTTTTTGGTCAGGAATGAAAACTAGACAAGTCCACGTGAAATTCAATTCGTTTTTCGCTCGCCGTTTCAGGGTCTTGCGTTGACAGAATCCATGCCGAAAATCCGCTGCAGCTCGTCTTCAAGGTCGGTGCAGTGACAGATCCTACCCCGCAGTTGCCGACAGCTTTCGCTGGTGAGTCAGTGATGCCCGTGTCTCACAGCGGAGGCGTGCGAGGCCGGGGGCGTTCTGGTGCGGAGTGCGCATGGCAGCCGAGCTTTTTACCAGCAGCCAGCTAAGGCCATTCGACTCTGGACGTTTTGCTGCAGGGGTTCATCCAGCGATCGGGATTCCGAGGGCTCTGGGTTCTGGGTTCTGGACAGCTTGATTTCAGTCAGGACTTGCCAAGCGAACTATATCATCCAGCGTGGACCCCAAGCAGTGTGTTTCTATGTTGCGCAATCTGCGTAGTGCAATCTATGTGGTGCAACTGATTTAACAAACGAGTTGACACATCCCGCGCTCTTGCAAACATCCCACCTACCCACCCGCAACTTGGTTTGCAACATCTCTTAAGACCATGACGGTGGTTAACCAAATGGCACTTGGCAACGACAGCGACGCCGACGACGACAGCGATAACGACGACGACGACGCCGCCGACAACGACTACGACGACACCGACGACGTCTCCAACGACTTCGACGACGCCGACAACGACGACGACGACGACGCCGACGACGACGACGACGCCGCCGCCGACGACGACGACGATGACGACGACGACGATGACGACGCCGACGACGACGACAACGACGACACCGACGACGACGACAACGTCAACGACGCCGACGACGACGACGGCGACGACGGCGGCGACGACGACGACGCCGACGTCGACGACGACGAAAACGACGACGACGCCGACGCCGACGACGACGACGAAGACGACGACGACGTCGCCAACGAAGACGACGACGAGGGAGGAGGGAGGAGGACCACGGCGACAACGACGACAACGACGACAACGACGACAACGACGAGGGAGGAGGGAGGAAGGCGACGACGCGAACGACGAAGAAGGAGGAAGGACCGCGACGCCGACGACGACAACGACGAGGAAGGAGGGAAGACGACGACGACGACGACGACGACGACGACGACGACGGCGACGAAATAGGAGGGACGACGAAGAAACGCCGACGACGGACGACGACGACGACGAGGGAGGAGGAGGAAGGACGACCACGGCGACAACGACGACGGAAACGACCACGACGCCAAAAAGGACGACGACGAACACGAGGAAAGGCAGAGGGCGACGTAGGCGACGACGACGACGACGCGGGAGGAGGGAGGACGGCGACGACGACGACGACGATGACGACGCAACAGCGCGCGCGCACGCCTTTGTTGAAAATCCGTGTTGCGAAACCTTGTGTTTTTGTAAGTTTTTTGGGCACACAATTTGGAATCCTTCCGAAACCGATGGTTTTTGAAGGATTTCGGCAAAAGCGCGCGACGACGCGCGCGTCTGCACTTCGTCCTATTTTTTGCAGAGGACTCTCGCGACGGCACACGCGCAAGGGCGTTCGGTAGATTCCGACATGCGCGCGCGCGGAGCCCGTTTGGTAGCATTTTGTGTAAATCTTGAAAAAACAATGGTTTTCGTAAGATTTCGCAAGAGCTTGCGCGTAAGCTTTTTTAGCGAATCCGTGTTGCGAAACCCTGTGTTTTTGTATGTTTTTTGGAAACTCGATTGCGAAATCCTTCCGGCACCTAAGGTTTTTGAAGGATTTCGGCATGCGCGCGCGACGGCGCGCGCGTTTGCACTTCGTCCCATTTTTTGCAAGGGATTCGTGAACAAGTGTTATGTTAGAACAAAAATTGTCACCGCATTTTTTTTTTTTTTTTTTTTGTTTTTTTTTTTTATTAAAAGAAAGGGAACCTCAAGGGGGGATAACGGCTGGCCTGGGACATTGTGATTTCATCTTTAGGATGGACATGTGGTCAGACTCATATATGATTTACATACCCGAAAGGGGGACCGATAACGCCGGTGGGGGGGGTAGATCTTATTCTGTGTTTAGAAAGGAGAATCAGTGTGTACAATCTGTGTTGTCCACCTCTTGCGGAAAAAGATGTGTGGCGCAATGTGCAATATGAGTTGTGGGATACTTGTTGTGTAGCGTATGTTGTGCAACATCCATACATATATATATACATATATGGTGCACTATATGTGGTGCAATCTAGTTGGTGCAAGCTACGTGGTACATTATATTTTGATCAACATGTGTAGTGTAATCCCTTGTGTGCAATCTATGTGGAGCAATCCAGGTTGTGAAATCTATGTTGTGCAGTTAATTTCTGTTCGCAGTGAGTTGTCCACTCCACTGCTCGCGCAAACATCCCACCCACCCACCCGCAACTTGGTTTGCAACATCTCTTAAGACCGTGACGGTGGGTACCACATGGCACTTGGCAACAACAGCGACGCCGACGACGACAGCGACAACGACGATGACGACGCCGCCGACAACGACTACGACGACACCGACGACGTCTCCAACGACTTCGACGACGCCGACAACGACGACGACGACGACGACCGACGACGACGACGACACCGACGCCGACGACGACGACGATGACAACGACGACGACGATGACGACGCCGACGACGACGATAATGACGACACCGACGACGACGACGACGTCAACGACGCCGACGACGACGACGACGACGACGCGGCGACGACGACGACGACGACGACGACGAGGTGGAGGACGACAACGACGCCGACGACGAAGACGACGACGACGTCGCCAACGAAGACAACGAGGAAGGAGGGACGACGACGGCGACAACGCGACAACGACGACAACGACGAGGGAGGAGGGAGGACGGCAACGACGCGAACGACGAAGAAGGAGGAAGGACGGACGCCGACGACGGCAACGACGAGGGAGGAGGGAAAACGACGACGACGAGGACAACGACGACGACGACACGGCGACGAAATAGGAGGGACGACGACGAGACGCCGACGACGGACGCCGACGACGACGAGGGAGGAGGAGGAAGGACGACCACGGCGACAACGACGACGGAAACGACCACGACGCCAAAGAGGACGACGACGACGAACACGAGGAAAGACAGAGGACGACGTAGGCGACGACGACGACGACAACGACGCGGGAGGAGGAAAACGACGACGACGACGCAAGAGCGCGCGCGCACGCTTTTGTTGAAAATCCGTGTTGCGAAACCTTGTGGTTTTGTAGGTTTGTTGGACACACGATTTTGAAATCCTTCCGGAACCGATGGATTTCGAAGGTTTTCGGCATACGCGCGCGACGACGCGCGCGTCTGCACTTCGTCTTTTTTTTGCAGGGTATTCTCGCGACGGCACACGCGCAAGGGCGTTCGACAGATTTCGGCATGAGCGCGCGCGAAGCCCGTATTGTAGCATTTTGTGAACATCTGGGAAAACCTATGGTTTTCTTAAGATGTCGCAAGAGCTTTCGCGGAAGCTTTTTTAGCAACTCTGTGTTGCGAAACCCTGTGTTTTTGTATGTTTCTTGGAAACTCGATTGCGAAATCCTTCCGGCACCTAAGGTTTTTGAAAGATTTCGGCATGCGCGCGCGACGACGCGCGCGTGCGCACTTCGTCTCATTTTTTTGCCAGGGATTCGCGAAAAAGTGTTATGTTAGAACAAAAAATGTAACCGCATAGTGTTTTTTACAAGGGAACCTCAGGGGGGGGAAACCGGCTTAGCTGGGATGATATGATTTCGTATTTCGGATGGACGAGTGTGCAGAATATATATATAGATATATATATGTATATATATATGTATATACATGTACACATATAAACATATATATGAAAGCATATTATCCCAGGGGGAACCGATAAGTCCGGGGGGGGGGGTAGAGTCCACTTTCTTTTGAGACAGGAGAATATACGTTGCTTAATCTAGGTGGTACAATTTCTGTGGCGCAATGTAGCTTATGCCATACTGGCGGAGCGTTCTATGTGGCGTAACATGTATAGTATAAACCATGTTTTGCAATCTATGATGTGCAATATATGTTGTGCGACCGATGTGGTGTATACATATTCGATCACATATTCACATGTATATTGTGGTGTAGAAATGTAATCATATATACACATATACAGGTGTATGGTACAGTATACGTGTTCACATTTATGTGGTGCGCAACATATGCTGTGCAGTGTATGTCTAGCAATCTAGGTTGTGCAGTCTATGCTGTGCAGTTAGTTTTGTGCACTCTCTATTTCGCAATCTTTGTTGTGCAATCTATGCGATGCAATTCACTTTGACCGTCTTGAAGCTGTCCTCTCTACTGCTCGTGCTAGCATCCCACCCTCCCACCCGCAACTTGGTCGCAAGGTTTCTTAAGACAAGACCGTGACGATAGGTGCCACATGGCACTTGGCCACGACACCGACGCCGACGACGACAGCGACAACGACGACGACGGCGCCGCCGACACCGACTACGACGACACCGCCGACGTCGACGACGACGAAGACGACGACGCCGACGCCGACGACGACGACGAAGACGACGACGACGTCGCCAACGGAGACGACGACGAGGGAGGAGAAAAAACGATGACGGCGACGACGACGACGACGATGGAGGAGGGAAGACGGCGACGACGCGAACGACGAAGGAGGAAGGACGGCGACGCCGACGACGACGACGACGACGAAGGCGACGACGACGTCGCCAACGAAGACAACGAGGAGGAGGGACGACGACGACGGCGACAACGACGACAACGACGAGGGAGGAGGGAGGACGGCGACGACGCGAACGACGAAGGAGGAGGAGGAAGGACGGCGGCGACGCCGACGACGGCAACGACGAGGGAGGAGGGAAGACGACGACGACGACACGACGACGACGACGACGGCGACGAAATAGGAGGGACGACGACGAGACGCCGACGACGGACGACGACGACGACGACGAGGGAGGAGGAGGAAGGACGACCACGGCGACAACGACGACGGAAACGACAACGACGCCAAAGAGGACGACGACGACGAACATGAGGAAAGACAGAGGACCACGTAGGCGACGACGACGGCGACAACGACGCGGGAGGAGGACGGCGACGACGACGACGACGCAAGA